TCGCCACCTTTGAGATCTTCGTGCACCTGCTGGCCCTGTTGGTGTTCTCCGTACTTTTGGCACTGCGAGTGGACGGCTTGGCCCCGGGCCTTTCCTGGTGGAATGTGTTTGTGCCGTTTTTCGCCGCCGACGGGCTCAGCACCTACTTCACCACCATCGTGTCTGTTCGCCTCTTCCAAGACGGGGAGAAGCGACTAGCTGTGCTGCGCCTCTTCTGGGTTCTCACAGTGCTTAGCCTCAAGTTTGTCTTTGAGATGCTGCTGTGCCAGAAGCTAGTGGAGCAGACTCGAGAGCTCTGGTTCGGCCTGATCACGTCTCCGGTCTTCATTCTCCTGCAGCTGCTCATGATCCGGGCTTGTCGCGTCAACTAGCCTCGTGCAGGGGCTGGGAATGGAGCACTGCGCAGCTGGAGTGCTGGGTCATCCAGTCCAGACCCTACTTGGCGCCACACTGGAGAAGCTTTGGTCAGAAATCCGTGTCTGCTTGTGCCCCGTTTACTGTCCAGTTTTCTCTATATCTAAGATTGTTTCCTCAGCAAAACTTAAAAGTGAAGCCTCGATTATTAAAAGTTATTTCCTGTTACTCATGCTCTGAGTTGCCAGACAATACTGAACTTTTATGACATTTGGAAACTGCATATACGTAAACTATCCTGATAGGCTCTGAATATTTCCCATGGTGATATACCCCTTTATGAATCAGCTTGTTCACTCAGAGCTTACCCCTCCATCGGTCCAGGCCAGACTTCTTTATACAATTGATAATCTAACAGAGCTTGCGTCACTTTTCTCTGTCCTGGGGAAGAATAGCCTTTTTTCATTCCATCCCACATAGAGACAGCAGACTGTTGAAAACAAAGCATGAATAGGACCCAGTGTGTTTATCTGCAATCTGAGAAAAAACTCTGGTCTCAAGACATTGCTTGGTTTCCTGGCCCAACAGATTACAGTTTCACGGAGTTTCCCACCACCTTGTGGCAGGCATCATTAATACACTGTGACAGACAGACCTCCCTAAGGGACCAAAGACAGGAAGAGGCGCTCACATGCTCATGGAAATGGATACTTACACATAAGAGCTTGTGAACAGCTTGAGTTTATTGACCTAAGGTCTTGATTTTATGTCAATCATGTGCCAAATGAGATCATTTGTTGAGATGGAATAATGTTTCTTGAAATCAATATATACCTAGACATCTCAATGTTTGAGTAAGGTGAATGCTAAGATCTTCCTTGTCATGTGGACAATTGGTCACAGGGTTGAGGTGGTGGGTGCACCAGAATGTACAGTTACAGCACAATGGGTGGTAGACTATTTTTGGAAGGTCCCTGTTTCTTGTTTTAGAAGATGGGTAACTTGGGCTGGAGAGATGGCTCAGAGGTTAAGAGCACTGACTGCTCTTCCAGAGGTCCTGAGTTCAATTCCCAGCAACCACATGGTGGCCCACAACCATCCATTATGAGATCTGGTGTCCTCTTCTTGTGTGCAGATATACACGGAAGCAGAATGTTGTATACATAATAAATAAAATCTAAAAAAAAAAAGATGGGTAACTTGCACCACTTCCCACCCCAGCTTAGAACAACAGGCTCTACTTTCTAGAGCTTGATACCAGAGCCCTTGACTCCTTGTTAGTGTATATAGCCATTGGTGAGCTCTGATAACATCCTATAGAGTTGACAAATGATGGCCCAAGGCCTAGTTTTTCTTTTCTTTCTTTCTTTTTTTATGACCCAGATTTGAGAATCTTTTTTGTTTTTATCTTTTTTTTTTTTTTTGTCTTTTTGACAGAACTCAGAGATCTGCCTGCCTCTGCCTCCCAAGTACTGGGATCAAATAGGGTGTCATGTAACCAAGGCGTATCCCAAATTTGCTTTGGTTTTGTGTTTTGTTTGTTTGTTTTTTCAAGACAGGGTTTATTTGTATAGTAGCCCTGCGCCGTCCTGGAATTCTTTCTGTAGACTGGCCTTGAACTCAGAGATCTATTTGCCTCTGCCTCCCAAGTGCTAGGATTAAAGGTGTGTGCCACCACCACCTGGCTTAACTTCCAGTTTTATGTGATTCTGGGAATCAAACTGAAAGCATGCATACTAGGCAAGCATTATATAATTAATAGTAATAGTAGTAAACAGGAACTCACTGTGTAACCTAGACTGGCCTGGAGCTTACTCTGTAGACCACGCCTCAAATTCATAGAGCCTGGCCTCTGCTTCCCAAGTACTAGGATTAAAGGCATGCACCACCACACTTGACTTAGGCCAGCATCCTGCCAACTGAGCTACATTGTGGTTTTTACATTTTAAAATTATTTCTGTGTGTGTGTGTGTGTGTGTGTGTGTGTGTGTGCAGCTGCATGTGTGTCACACCACTCATGTTTGTTAGCCTTGTGATCCAGGGAGCAAACTCAGGTAGTCTGGCCTGCTTACAAGCCCCTTTACCTGCTGAACCACCTCACAAGCTAAGTTTTACATTTTTAAAGGATTTAAAACAGGTTGCCACAGTGTTTGCTAAAGTGGCTGTAAAAAAGAAAGAGGAGAAAAGGGACTTGGGGCTATAGCTTTTTTGATAGATTGTTTACCTAATCCCCCTTTGGGTGGGGTGGAGGCAGGAGGATCAGAACTTAGTTGGAAGCTAGCCTGGGCTGGGCTGTGAGACCCAGCAAGGTGGGGGGGGGGCAGAGTCTAAACGAAGATCAACGAAAGTTAATAGTTGACAGATTTAATGTGACCTGGCAGAGTACAGGGTTCCTCAGCAGAGCTGGATTTTTTTCTTCCTTCATCCCTCCCTACCGCCCTCCCTCCTTCTCTCTCTCTCTCTTTCTTTTTAAAGACAGGGTTTCTCTGTGTAGTCTTGGCTGTCCTGAACTCTTTTTGTAGACCAGGCTGGCCTTAAACTCACAGAGATCCATCTGCCTCTGCCTCTTGAGTGCTGGGGTTAAAGGTCTGTGCCACCATTGCCCAGCTAGATCATTCTATTTTATTTTATTTTATTTTATTTACTTTTTGGTTTTTCGAGACAGGCTTTCTCTGTGTAGCTTTGGAGCCTATCCTGGCACTCGCTCTGGAGACCAGGCTGGCCTCGAATTCACAGAGATCTGCCTGCCTCTGCCTCCCGAGTGCTGAGGTTAAAGGCGTGCGCCACCAACGCCCCGGCTAGATCATTCTATTTTAAAGAAATCATTTAAAAAAAAAAAAAAAGATTTCGTGTGTGGGTGTGCACCACGTGTGCAATGTCTGTGGAGGCCGACAGAGGGCGTTGGATCCCCAGGAATGAATTACGGCCATATAGCAGATGCAAGGAACCAAATCTAGGTCCTTTGTGGAGCATCACGTATTCTTTTTTGTTTTGTTTTGTTTTTCGAGACAGGGTTTCTCTGTGGCTTTGGAGACTGTCCTGGAACTCACTCTGTAGACCAGGCTGGTTTCGAGCTCACAAAGATACGCCTGCCTCTGCCTCTCAAGTGCTGGGATTAAAGGCGTGCACCACCAACGTCCGGGGCCACACACACAAGTCTAAGCAACAGGTCTGGGATCTACAAAACCGAGATTATCGAAAAGCATTTCCTTATTCCTGGGCGGATCTCAGAAAAGGGCCCCTGGCCTGCCTATCCACCGAGGTTCAAGGGCTCCAGATTGGACCAGGGTCTGGGCCCAAAGGTGGAAGGCCCATGCGTTTGTGTACCGTCCACGGGGGCAAGCAAGGACCTCCCGGCTCCCGCGCAGAGATCTCTCCCGAGAAAACAGAGTAGTTGTGTGAGTGTCGAGGGAGTCGGAACTGTACGAAGGTCATCTAGGTCGCAAGGGTCTGCTAGGCGTTATGCCAAGACCAGCCCTGCCAAATTGTGGTCCTCAGGCTCCGGGTTCAGAGCGCAGAGGCGGAAGTGAGGGGCAGACATTGAGGTGCGGAGCGTGTCCACTGATCTTCACCCATAGGGACTGGTCGGTGCCGGTCGTAGTCCAATAAGAACGCTATAGGGGAGGGTGTAAATGCGTGTCCTCCAATCAACTGGGCGTATACCTCTACCATTGGCGGGCAGTTCTGCCCTTGGGTCAGAGCACACTTGCCCAATTGGCGGCTACCAAGGGGGGCGTGGCACGGCGCGGTACTGAGGCAGGTAGCTGAGAGAGTCTGTCTGAGCGAGCCGCAGCCTGTGCAGTCCCGTCGGCGGCTGCGTCCGCAGCATGGCCGGCCTAGGGCGGCCGGGCCCGGGGCCGCGCACCGCGATGCCTGCCTGGAAGCGGGAGATCCTTGAGCGGAGGCGAGCTAAACTGGCCGCCCTGAGCGGAGGCCCGGGACAAGGAGCGGCGCCGGAGGGGCAGGACGAGAAGCTGGTGCTGGCCGAGAGTCTGGGTCCGCTAAGCGAGAACCCGTTCATGCGACTTGAATCCGAGCGGCGGCGCGGGGGG